GCCTCATTCGGATCAACGTGCTCTCATTATTACCCACTCTTCGATTTTTGAAGAAGCTTTGTCTCATGTATTAGGTCTTGATGATGCTCGTTCCGTTTGGCGTGCCCTTGAAGCAGCCTACATCCACGACTCTGTAGAACGCATGTAGACTCTACGCAATTCTCTCTATAGTTTGCAAAAAGGTAACTCTTCTGTTACTGAATTGGTCACTCTGTTGATGATATGAATAACTCCCATTGGTTCTTATGTGGTATTGGGTCGTCTTTTGAGATGTTTTCCACTACCCACAGTGTTGTCAAACCTTGTCCTATCTTTCACGATCTTCTCACTCAAGCTGAGGGTCATGAGTTATTTCTTGCAATCTATTCATGGCTCCACTCCACCACATGTTGCTTTTACTGCAACTCAAACTCGCTCTCAACCTCAAACTGTGGTTATGGTCGAAGCTCTAATAATTATGATAATTTTTCTAGAAGATGAGGTCATGGTCGTTATCACCCTCATTGTTAGCTATGTCATAAGGATGGTCACTATGAAACTCAGTTTCCTGATCATAACTCTTTTGTAACTCGATCAACCCAATCATATGCAAACCTTGCCACAGATTTACACTCTAAGTGCCATGTTCATGATAGCTCTCCAGATTGGTATGTCAATTTCAGACCAACTGCTCATATGACACCTTCCTCTTCCAACCTTGACAATGTCAAATCATAAAAAGGCTAGGATCATGTCACATTTGGTAATGGTACATCTCTACATGTTTCTCATATATGCTACTATTCTCATCCAAATAATATTAAATTGATGGATATCCTTGTAGTTCCTCATCTCACTAAAAAAGCTTTTTTCTATCAACAAACTCATAAATGATCAACCTATTGGCATTTGTTCTCTGATTGTTTCTTTTCTATTCAAAATTGTCTCGCCCAGGACATCCTAGCTCGGGGTCGGGTTAAATATGGTCTTTACATTCCGGAGCAAGATCACAAGTCGTTTTTGGCTAAGCTCTCCTCTAATAGACTTCTTTCTTCCTTTGAGCTTTGGAACAATCATTTAGGACATGCAAGTTCTGATGTTATTTATTTTTTAGCTAAAACATATCATTTGTTTCTTATTTCATTGTTATCAGCACCAACTTTATGTTCTTCTTGTCAACTTTCCAAAATAAAACGTTACCTTTTGATATTAATCCTAAATGTTCATTGCATGTATTAGATTAAGTTTTAAAATTGTTCAAAAATATTATTCAATTTTAGTCTGTATAAAAAAATACCAATGAACTAAGGATGTTGTTCACAAAATACCATCAAGGTACACATTGTGTTCAAATTACAAATTATGGTAACCGACTGATTAGGTTAATATTATTGGTAAATCAGTTAAATGGAAACTTATGAATTACATGGTTTGTACTTATAATGAAAATTACTTAGAAGGGTAACTAAGTTTTAAATTTGTTCAAAAAACATCATTTAAGTTTAGTCATAGTTTGTAATCACTTTGGTCAACTACTGTAATATTTATATGAATGAATAAGAAAGGATTATTCATATATGTATGTGTTTATGTGTTTTATATGTTATTTTATGTGAATTATATAAGTATTTAATAATAAAATAAATAAGATTAAAATATGCGTAAAAAATAAGATATTATTTAAGATAAACAACCTTAACCAAGTTGTAGTATACACGACAAGAATTCTAGAGATATAAGGAACGTTCGAATCTGACTTTGTATGAATAACTTATATTTCTTCAAAGTTTTACGATTAAACTAGCATGACTCTGCGTATCGTAAAATGTAAATTTTTGATAAACTACTTTCTAGCCTAAGTGATCTAAATGAAAATCATAATAGTCATTAAACCATAAGCATGCATATAATGAACGTCTAAATCTGACTTCATTAGAAGAAATTGTGATTTTTTTGAAGTTTCAGTGTATCAGTGCGGACACAAAAATTAAATTTTAAATCTGTTGATTGTTAGCTGAAACAATATAAATGGGAGATGAAGATCTCGTTAACAGGAGCCCAATGATATAACAATAGTCGAAAATAGACTCCGGATGAGAAAGTTATACATGTGTTAAAAAAATTTAGTCAAAATTAACCGACATAGTCTACAGTAGAGTTGTAGATCTCATCGAGGGCTTTCTGGGGATATAAAGAACGTCAAAAAGGGAGCTCGTATAAAGAAGATACGCAATTTTAAAAATCTTAAAAACAACATGCGCAACGAGCAGAGTGTTCCAGAAGCCGCAACACAGTCCCACCTATATTTGAACACGTGTCAGCTTCTGAGAGGCCGAACAAACTAGTACGCGGCGTGTACTCGGTATATGCGCGATGCGCAAGCCAAATCTCTCTCCTATAAATAACATTCAGTCTCCTGTCCATATCCCTCACCCCTAAAAACTTCCTCTCTTAATATTCTTTGACTTGTAGCTCATTTTCCCTTAGTTTTAGTCTGTAGTGGAGCCTTGTGACACCCCTAAGTGCTTAGCTATTTGTAACCTTCGAGTAGAAGTTCCTAAGTCAGTATTCTGCTTTTTTAGTTTCTGGTTTTCATCAAGAGCATTCTGTAAGTGAGCTACACTTACTTTGCTTCCGTATAATTTACGATTATAGTTATAAGTCATAACTAGGAAATTATAATTAAGATTTATCAATGATTTCAAGTAGTTATACTGATTAATCGATTTACGGGAAAAGTTTCTAGAATGACCATGTTGGCTTGGTTGTTGGATTTCCGAAAGGCTATACACCGAAATGGTCCTGCTTTCCAACTTTCCTGCATGCATGATCCTTATTTGATAGAACTCTCAGTATTAATCGGGATTATTGAAGAATCTTAACCCATAGGATAATAATCATGGAACTAGAGTAAGACTTGGTGTTATATATATCTTGGTCATTTGGAAAAGCTGTAAGACGAAGCTCTGCCCGATTCACCAATCACCAGACACTTTGTCAGGTGAGTGCGTAGTTACTATTATGAACATAATATTAAATTAAAAGTATTATTTATATGCGGCATTACGTGTTTACCTGTATTATATATGTTATGTGCTACTCGTATAAATACGATATCACTATTGGATTAGGAACTGTATTGGACACAAATTGCCTCTAGCATAAGTCTAAATTAGTTACAATAGGACTTGCAAAAGCAATTTAGTTCCCACTAAGCTGGGAATTAGATAGGTCTCATTATGGGGTAGCATGTGAGCTTAGATAGCAGAGTGTCATATTCATCCTCTATCTTTGATGACTAGAAATGATGGGTCCAGGTTAGACAACTACCAAGTATGTATGGATCATCGAACAAAGTAGATGGCAACACTTAACTATTCTAGGCGGTCTAGTGAATTCCGTTGCTAGCATGGAATTATAACCAATGGACGTAGATAAAATATGATACCATATTTATCAAATCTCTACACATTGGTTATCTTTATATGACTTAAATTTGCCAAGGACTCCCTTAGTGGTGTAGTCAAAAAATTCCTCTAACAATTTATCAGGTTTGGCGATTCCTCCATATAATCGTGCTTTAGGATCTGTGAGGATCGGTTAAGCTGGGTAGTTGGTGTTACATTGGATTTTATATGCATAATTTGGTATCACTGTTTACATGAATGATATTATTTATTATCATTAAATTATTATGGGCTTGAAGACCCTATACATCTCACTAGGTTTTTCCCAAACCTGACCTACTCATTTTATGCATCACAGGTAGCGAATGTAAGGTTGTCGAAGAATAGTTAGAATGCTGAGTGGAATAAAGATGTGTCCTGTAGTAAGTAGTTTCAGGTCCTTTTAATTTTTACGTTGTAATGTATATTTGGATATGAGCGATGGCATCCTCAATGTTTTAAAATAAATGAAATAACTTTTATTATCTCATAAATGTTTTGTTTAATAGGGAATTTTCGCATCTCAGTTTATAAAGCTTAAAGAAAATGTTTTAATTGGTTCTAAGAAACGGGGATGTCTTACACACACACACAATACAATGAAACACATTCTGATGAGACACAAATTCATTTGAGAGTTAATTAATGACAAAACTCTAAATATCGAGAAAATCCTTAGAACAAAGAACCTAATAAATATGTTCACCAATGTGGTTACCATTGAGAAGTTGAAGTTTTGTATGACTTTAATTGGCCTTCTATAAGTTTGAGAGAGAGAGAGAGAGAGAGAGAGAGAGAGAGAGAGAGAGAGAGAGAGAGAGAGAGAGAGAGAGAAGTTGCAAGGTTTTGGATGTCAAAGAAAGACTATGTTGTTCAAGCCCCCAAGTGAGAGATTGTTAGGTTTGGTGGTAGAAAAAACATTATTAAGTAGGAGACATCTTGATTGCAACACCAATTCCCAGTTTACTCCTAAATTCCCGATATTGAAATGTGCTTTCCCCCATCATACGATAATTGGTGTGTGTACTTACATACATACATACATATTTTAGTGTATATATAGAAGAAGGAAGTAGAGAGAGAAACACACTAATCATAACAGAGCATAGATACACCGTATAGAAAACACTGAGTGAGATAGTTTCATTTAGGCATAGCCTTACTTTTAGGAGCAAAATATATGAGTGATAAGGAATGATCCGATTACAGGTGTGGTTTAGCTTTATATAATTGTAATTTTCAGGGTGATAATAAAATCTTCTCGGTAGTGGATTAGATCAGATTAGACCAAACCATTCTAGATATGTGTTTTTTTTTTCGTTTGCAGATTTTCAGTAGTTTTACTCCACGTATGTTACCGAAATCATTTACAGTTTTATCTAAAGTGATTAATTTGTTTTGTTAATATCCAACATCAATATGGCAAGGCACCAAAACACGTCACAAACCCTTATATTTGTGCCTTAGGCGAGATTTAAACTTGGGTCACTAGTCCTCGGGGTGCTTACAATGTCGTCCTTCACAACCAACTTGGCCTTGGTGATGGTTAATCCCAAGCTAAAAATACTTCCAAGCTCTATTGTAAATTAATATCAAAATAAACGATATTACCTTCGTTTTAAGAGCCAACCTAGTTCAGACATGCAAACTGGTTTGTCATACACACCACTCTGCAAAAACAAAGTACAAAAAGGAAAACATTAGTCGTGGCTTGTGTTTTACTAATTATATATCCCGAGTGGTATCAAGATATAAGGAGTAGTAACTACTAGTAGTTCGACGTTTAAAATTCAATGCATGTTACACCCACCCCGTAAGCTGATTAATGAGCAAAACGAATTTCTATTTGGGAATTTCGGATGATCGAAACAGCAACATGTTTGTAACATGCTAAAATTTCAGCCGCAACATTTATAGATGTTATTGCACTTGAACGATATGCTGATCAATACATATATCTGAATAAGTATCGAACCTATTTGCTAATCAATTTAGTTTTAAAGTTAAGTAAAAGTGAGATATATTAGTTTACAACTTTATATATGTACTTAGAAACTGTACTGACCTCTCGGCAAACTGGACATTTGGACTCAGGGCTTGCGGATTTTAAGCCTTCAATGATCAATGCATGCCCAGCTAAACATGCACAAGACTTGCAAAAAATGTGTCCGCAGCTCAAAGCATATGGTTGGAAAACAATGTCCTGAACCAATACAAGAATAGTACTGACCATTACCAAGAAGAACTTTTAAATAATTTTTTTAGAAAGATTTAAATGATCCTCTTTATCTAATATTAAATTGCGTTAACGTTCATTTAATTAAGGCCATACCAAGCAAATAGGACACGTGAGATTGCATTCCAATTTCTCCGACGCTAGAAGAGTTAAAGTCAGTACAGACCCTTGATTTGAGATGTCGATATCACAAGAGAGTGGACCAAAAAGCTCATCTGAGATCAAACTGTCTGAACCTTTAAGATTCATATACATAGCTACTAATTCAATCAACCATGGCGATTGCATAATATCCAAGTGCTTGGCTTGTAGTTTGGATTTAAAGTTGATAACGCTTTCAGCTTCGTGAACCTGTGCATGGTGCATATATATAATCAAGATTATAGAACAAGAAACACCACGTAGCGATGTAGTTCAATGATCAAGGAGCTTACTTTATCATATTTCTTAAGAATCTTCCTCAGTGCGATAGCATTCATAACAGCAAACTGGATTAGCATCCATCCTTTGTGTAGGAGTGCTGCTTCATGATCATCTTTGAAATATTGAAACGGGCCTGCTAAGAATCTTCGCATACCAGGAGAGAAATGAAGATGAACAAGCTGCCCGACTCTCAAACCAAAATAATCAGTCATCTTGGTGGCTTTTGTTGTTAATTCGGTGAACATCCATTCACACCCTAAAACACGACGTAAGGTAACACAAGAACCATGAGGAACTGTTTATATTATCCACGCAAATCAAATAACACGTAATCTTTGTTTTCACTTCTCTTATGCATGGGAGCAGTTATTTAAGAGTTCATGATTATGAAATACAATAAAACTAAAAAGAAGAAAAGAAACCGGAAGCTTACTGTGGCATTGTGTCTGATTGAAACCATCAATATGAGAATCAACGGAAGCTTCATTATGTCTATGATGCCTGCAAAAGTTCAAATCATTTTTGAGCCTATTGTACTCAAAATGAAAGCTCTTGTTGATCAGATCTTTCCCCACCAAATAAGCCGTAAACGTCTCTTCGAACCCCATAACTTCAATTCGATTCAGTTAGCACTTGTAAACATCAACAACAATCTGAAGAAATTAAATCGGCACACTGCTGAACCCAGTATTTGAATCTAACATCGCCGGGTGTTATTTCCATCAAACCATCTTCTAAAAATGCTCACGGTTGATCGGAATTTTTATGCTAAGAGAATAAGTGATGATATATAACCGAAGCTAGCTAGTTAGTGACTTGCAACATATGAAGCAAGACTTGTACATCATATCGTACGGGATACATTATGACTCCTACTACAAGGAAAGTTGACATAAACCAATACATAAAACCTATAAACCAATCTTACAGAAAAAAAAATTAATAAAAAATTATAAATTAAAAATTAAAAAGTGGACATAGGATGTTGTCATAATAGTGCTTTAATCAATCGAAGTTGGTACTGGTAGATCCTTTTCTCCATATATAACTAAAGGGTCTAATCCAAATATGATAATGTTCTAGTCACTTACAAAATAGGAAGCCAGACTTGTACATCGTACGGGATACATTAAGACATCGACTACAAGAAAAGTCAACATAAACCCACATATAAAAACATACAAACCAATCTTACCTTTCAATCTAAAAAAAGATAATAAAAAAAATTAACGATGTTGTCATAATGGTGCTTTAATCATTCTTGTCGATATATATATATATATATATATATATATATATATATATATATATATATATATATATATATATATATATATATATATATATATATATATATATATATATATATATATACATATATATATATATATATATATATATATATATATATATATATATATATATATATATATATATATATATATATATATATATATATATATATATAAATATGAATCTAGTGTCAACCATGAATCTTTCAACTAACATTGTTTATACTCTATATTAAACGTCCTTCAAACAGATTATGATAACTAGATCAAGTTTTCCTTTTTAATTACCGTTTTTTTAGAACATGCAAGTGATCACTAAATTGTTAAAGTTGTAGAGAGCGGTTGATCTTTTGTAACACCCGTACTATCATGTATTATTCTTTTACTTTTGAAGACTTGAATTTTGGAAATTGTTCTGTCCGCGACGTGGTTTATATGTTGCCATGGTGTGGTGATGCCAAGTCAACTCGGGGCGATACCTTTTAAATGTCACGGCGCGGCGCCGCATGTTGCACAAAATGTAACGTCCCGTTCTTGGTATGCATCTAATTTATCTAAGTATGTATTTTGTAAGAGCTACTCGACGAGTTGGTAGCCCTAACTTGTCAAGTAGATGCCAGTTTAGACGCGGGCTTTAAGTGGTCTACGCGACGAGTCGAAAGCCTTGACTCGACGAGTAGGTCCGTCAGGAGGAAACCCTAATCTTTAGGGTTTGCACCCTATTTAAGCATCTTATCAGGCCTCCACCCCAACCTCCATCACCTTCACAACCCACTCTCGAAACCCTAATCAACCTTGTGTGTTATTGAGCTAGTTTCTTGCCATTTTGTGTGATTTGAAGCTAGGAGAAGGAAGGAGACCCTTGGTGATTCAAGAAGACACAATAGAATCAGAGCTAATGTTGCATTTCAGATCCTTTGGAGGTATAAAGCTTATACCTAGGCTTCTTTTCACTTAGATCTTCATTTTAGCTTGCTTGTTGGCATTTTAGGCCATTTCCGGGCTATGAGCTTTTGGGGACGTAAGGACTTTAGATATGGGCACTCTTGAGCTCTAGAAGCTTAAAGTTGCCACCTTTATTCAGCCATGTCCCCATTCCATGAATTAGGTCTTCATTTTAGCTTGATTTTGGTGTTTTAGCTTCATAACAACACGTAAAGTTAGCAACCTTATGTGTTATGCTAACCTAGGGAGTCCAGATCTATGAGTTGGAAGCATTGGAAGTGATTAGAATCAATTGTATAGGTTTGGCATTTAAGGGACTCGATGAGTTGTTCATGTGACTCAGCGAGTCGAGTCATGGTCCCCAAATCTTTTCTGTTTTGAGTCAGCTCATTGAGTTGGTGAGCAACTTAGCTAGATGGACGAGATCCAGACTAGGAAGTTGTAGAACTCGGTGATTTTGTGAAGGGACTCGACGAGTTGACTTGTTTTGTCCTGAGTATGTATTAGATAGAACTCGGCAAGTCTGCAAAGGGACTCGATGAATTGACTCAGTTTAACACGGGTTTGATAGCATAGAACTTGATGAGTTAGCAGATAACTCGGTGAGTTGGGTTGAATGGGAGTTGACATTAACTTTAACTTTGGCCAGGGGTAAAATGGTTATTTTACCCTCAGATGAGTTTTCATCTTCTTACCAAGTATTATTGTATGGAGTTAGCAAGGAGTCATGGGAGCAGCTATCAGAGATTCCTCATGCCTGAGATCAACATCCGGTTTAAGAGGTGAGTTTCCTTTCAGTAGGAACGAGTCGAAGGCACCAAGGTAGACCCATATATGTAACATGTTAGTAGCGGAGTGTGGGCAGGGCCCGAATCTCCTAGCAGTCGAGTATGGGCGGGGCCCAAATCTCATAGTATTATTTGTGTATAGGTAAGTGATTGTTTGATAGTTATACTTGTTGTATATGTGATAGTTGTATGCATGTTAGTAGCAGAGTCTGGGCGAGGCCTAAATATCCTACACAAAAAAGTGTGTGCGGGGCCCGAATCTCCTAGATAACGGAGTGTGGGCGGGGCCTGAATCTCCTAGGCAACAGAGTGTGGGCGGGGCCCGAATCTCCATTAGAGTAGTCGGGGCCCGTGTCTACTAGTTGTATGCTATTTGTATGGTATGTGGTAGTTTGAGGGAACTCACTAAGCTTCATGCTTACAGTTTTCAGTTTTGATTTCAGGTACTTCAGCTAGTAAAGGGAAGAGCTTGGGATGATCACATGGCACACACCACAGTCTTCAGCCTGAGATATTTATTTTGATATTTGATACATGATTTGGATACTGTACTTTTGATAAGTGGTTTGAGATACACAATATGGGATTTTATCATGTTGTTATATGGATTCTGAGTTTTCTTTAATGATTTTAACACGAAACTTTTGGACCGTATTTTTGGGATGTTTCAGTTTGGTATCAAAGTCTTGGTTTGAGGGATTCGGGCACACTTCCGGGTGTGTCTGAACTCAAACTAAGGAATTGGTATAGAAAATTTCAAAAGAAAAATCATTTTGTAAAAGGATTATAAGAAAAGAAACGAGTTATAGAAAAAGTAAAAAGAAAAGGATTTTGAACAAGAGAAAAAGGGTGTGGTGCATGCAATCAGCCGAGCTCAAGTAAGTACTCCCAAATTACCCATACACATTTATGTTATGATATGCTTATCAGTTATATGAGAACTGCAATGTAGATTAGGACTAAGGATCTAGGAAGGATGCCTTATGTGCCTATTATATGTGTATCAACTATGTAAGAACTGCATGCTAGTACAGATTAGTCAGTATGATGGCCTAATTAGAATATGCTTGATTATGTGTACTCAATGCTCGAATGCTGCTTGCTTTGTGATTTTGGGAGTTCTAATTGTATTTTACTAACTAGTAAATGAATATGTTAAGTTACATATTACGAGGACTAAATAATTTTAGAAGATAGGTTTAGCCTTATTTCACAGCTCTCATTTGAGTCTAACCGTTGTTAGGTAGAACCTCTCATTCGAAGAATCATCTAGTCTTAGTGATATGTAATAATATTCATGAGCTAGTTAGGGGAAGATAGCAGGGACTTCTTATTCAGCTGATGGCAAAGAGTGGGATGGTGATTACCCTAGGAGAAGTCTAGGATGATAGTAGCACGTGAAGCATTAGTGGTAGAAGGAACTTGGTGAAGTCGAGGTAGTTCTTGAGGAAAGTAAGGATAAATGTGGAAGGTAGTATGGGCTCGTACTACTGAAAGCAGAGGATTTGTACTCGAGTTAAGGAAGGTTGAGACAAATCTAGTGAACTTATAGTGTATGTAATCCTTCGAGTTATGTTAGTATTCTGATGTTTGATAAGATGTGTTTTTCAGAATGGTGGTTTTATGCCCTAGACCAACAGTTGGAAATTCATGTGAAGGATTAGGCTCAGGCCCTGGAGCTGAGCAGCTAGACGAGTAGACTAGGGAGTTCATCTCCTCAGAGATCAAGCGCAAGATACTAGACCAGACTCCTATGATCTTTTGTACGATCAAGGAGGGTATCTTGGAGATTCTCGATGAAAGGTTGAGTGATTTCTGTATTAAGATGGCGGCCATGCTAGGGGCCCGCACGGTGAATTTCAGGGAGTTCAGAGCATGTGGAGCTTCAAATTACCATGGGGCTAAGGACCCCATTGCTAGCAGCAGATGGTTGGCTGATGTCGCCAACGCTTTCTGCATGAGCAGATGTCTCAAGGGGGACAGGGTCCGACTTGCTTCCTGTCTACTAAAGGAAAGAGTGCGCGACTGGTGGGAGGAGGTCAGACATGCCATTGGTGATGATGCAACTTTAGATGCGATGACATGGAGTGACTTTTCAGCCAGTTTTATGGCCGAGTTCGCACCTGTGATTGAGGTGCAACAGCTAGTGAGAGAGTTCCAGGATTTACGGCAGACCAGTGAGACGGTGACTGAAATCACCGCCAAGTTTAGGGAGAGGGCCCTTCTTGTTCCGCAGTACGTGGCTGACGAGGAGATGAAGAAAGCCCAATACCATGAGATCTTGAGGAGTGACATTCGACAGTTTCTGAGCCGATCCAGCTGCAAAACGCCGGAGGATATGATTGCCAGATCTAGAGAGAGAGAGATTGACTTAGAGATGGAGAGGAAGAGGAAACCAAATGCGGCATCTGGTATGGAGGGTTTGGGCAAAAAGCCCAAGACAGATTCCCGAGGGAAGGGCCAGCAGGGCCGAGGCCGCTGCAGCAAGTGTGGCAGGGGGGATGATGGGCTGTGTAGGGCTGGTAGCTTGGGCTTCTTTAAGTGCGGCCGAATAGGTCATGTGAGCAGGGATTGTACAACGACCACCACCACCACCACCACCACTACTACAACATCTTATTTGATTTGCTTCCAGTTCAATCAGAGGGGCCACAAGTGGTTCTAGTGTCCAAGCTTGGCATTAGCAGGACAGGTGACAGCGTCCGCTCTTGCTACATGGAGGATTACAGATTATCGGCAGGGTTGTGCTGATGCACCAGTAGCGAAGAGTAGAGCCTTCCAGCTGACAACAGAGGAGGCACGTGCAACACTTGATGTTGTTACAGGTATGTATCTTCTCTTT